AAAGAAACCTAAGAATATTTAAATGGTAAATTGAGTATGCCACTTTATTTTTTTTTCTAAAAATTAGTGAGTGGAATAAAAGTTATATTATTCAGACCTAAAATTTTGACTTAATCTACTAACATTATTATCGTCAATTTTAGGGTTATAATAAATTAAATTAACAGATTAAGTCAATAAATTAAATATAAATAACATTGCTCGGAAAATATTTTAATTTTACTATCAGACACAAAAGCGTAAGGATTCAAAATCCCTTATTGCATGAAGCTAGAGCTGCCTCCTGTTTACAAGGATTACATTACACAGAATACAAGAGATGTTCTTGAGTCTCCTCACAGACAATGTTACAAACACATGGAGACCATCACTTCTGGGACGACTCCTTTCCTGGCTTCACAATGAGGACTGGATATTTTGCATGGTGAGCACAGTAATCACTTACACTACCCAACAAGACCCTGCAATGAAAAAGCACAAGAAACAACAGTCAGGAAGACAAATTACTTTTGCTAACCCTAGCCCCTGCTCAAGTTTTTCTTCTTTTTCTCTTCTTTTTTTTTTTTTTTTATAAACTTATACCCAGAAGTTTGTGGATTATTCCAGCAATCACTGGTGAAGGAGGGAACCCCTACTTTTGAAATTTGATTTTGGCCCTGCTCAAAATTTTCATATTTAAACATCTTCTGCTATCAGACCGATGACTAGACATTTTTGCATTTGCCAAAGGTGTTGAGGTCAATTTTAGTACGGAGATATCACTTGAGTCTGACTATGAGAGATTTATCATTCGTGAATATTCTAGTTCTAACGTAGATGGTCTGTCTTTAATCAGACCGAAAAGAAAATTAGTTAAGGTGCGAGCATACCGGCTCTAATACCCCTAACCATTAACTAAAAAAAATAACACCTAAATGGGTAAGTAAATTTGATAATAGTGTCCAAACAGTGCTGTTCTGTTTAAGTGATTTGGTACAAATTATAATCCTTTAGACATAATAGAAAAGTTATGATATAAAAAAACACATATTATTTATATGTTTAGTGTATATTTGTACGGAAGAGTGACAAAAATATGACATAATTTGTTAACATAACAAAAAAATAAAAGTTTGAGTCTTCTTTAAATCACCCGTTTCGTAAACATGTGAATTTAACATAAATAAGACGATTAATAAATGAATCCGATATGAGTAAATTCACGAACCTGATATAACACAAATTAATAAATAAATCGGGTATTAATAACAGAAACCCGCTTTCCCCGACATGAATTGATTGACTGGCCTATTTGTATGTCTTCGTTTGAGCATGTTTGTATCAGTACCAAAAGTAGTGCGCTTTAATTTATCATGTCCAGCTACCAGAATTTAGCCTTAGATATCCATCAAATGCTAGCCAGATATTTAGAAGTTTACCTTTTGATCTTGCTTCGTCCTCGATTACCAACAACAAGAAGATCAGCATTCATATCCTCTACAGCTTGGCAAATCATTTCCTTTGGGTCTCCTTGAAGAATTAAAGTTTCTGCTTTGATCTGCAGATAACTCAACACATATAAGAATGGTCACCCAGGCGAATGGATGTTTAATAATAAAGTAAAAAAAGAAGGATACAGCTTGTCATTTAATTACTTTCCAATTACCATTTTTTCTTTGCACATCCGTAATGCACGAGAGAGTATTGAAGCAACATTCTCTTCCTGAACCTTCCTTGAAGCTTCCATATCCACATACACAGGCACCGCTGCCAAAGAATAAGAGAATGAGAGAATACGCTGAATCTGCGTGCTTGTGTGTGTGTGCGCGCAGGGCAGGGGCTGAGTAAGGAACACGAACGGGGTATAGCCGGGAGGATGTAGTGTTGAAATGGCTGGATGACATGAACGACGGTGAGCACGTCGGAATCCTCCAGGTTGGATGGCTCCGGTGTCGGCGTTGCAACGGCAGACCGCAGGAAGAGACGATCGAGTGTCCACTTGAGCGCGTAGAAACTCGCATCACTCTCGTCGATGGCTACCAAGACTTTCATGATCGTCTTCTTCACCGGCGGCATCAACACTTGCTGCTGCTGCTCCTCCATCGCCGCCTCGCCTGCACTTGTCTCGACGGTTGTCGTCGCAATTGCTCGATGCTTCGCTTCAGTGTACCAACCGCCAGCTTGTTCTTAACTTATGAGTCTATCTCTCTCTCTCTCTCTCTCTCTCTCTTCGGTCTTTCTGGACTTTTGGATTTCATATGAAGCAAAATGACGGTTTTGCCACCAAGCCAGCAACTCGGATGAAAAATGGTTACTTAAACCTAGTCCTATCACTCGTGTCTAGTAAAGCTGATTCCTATCAAAAAATAGATTTACGTGTAATGATTCGTGTTATATTGAGTTAAATCTTTTAATTTTATATTATGTTTATATTGTGTTAACGAATTGTGTCATATTTTATCACTCGTACTTAAAAGTTAAAATTAAAAAAAAATTAATTTAATTGGACCATGTAATGTCCGGATTATATTATTTTTTATTATTTTACATTGAAATCGTATTTTTGAACTTTCTTTCATGATTAAATTAACTTGTAAACTCATAAGCCACATAAAATGTGAATCTTATTTTTCTCGTGATGGAAAAAAAATCTCTCAATCAAATGTATTATATTTATAAAAAATTTATAAAAAAAAATATTTTTTATGAATATCTTGATAAAATAAAATTCATCTAATTCTTTGACAAGTTCTACAATAGTATGTCAAGAAGCAAAGAAATGAAAAGGAAACATAAACTTTCTTTATAGAAAATACCAATTTTAATAAAATGTCCACTAATTCAGGAGCCATATTGCTTCTAATAATTTTTTTTTATAATGAGCGAGAGATTCACTTAAATATAATGGGTCATACTTAGATTTACGGTAAGTAGTCCACTAAAAATAAAAAAAAATGAGAAAAAGTATATTTGAAAGAATCTTAATTCATAAAGTTGCATATTTTATATATAATTCTTATTAGGTCTATCGATCACACGTGATTTTAGCAGATTCATGTCAAAAAATAATTCACCAATACTCAAATTATTTATTAATTTGTATTTAACGAATCGTGTCATATCAGATTCGTATCGTGTACGAAAAGTATATAATTAATATATAAATGAGTCATTTCATATATTTTTTTTATTGATTTTATTTATACCTGAATTATTTATTAATTATGTCATATTTGATCCATTGGTCTATGAAACAGGTAACTTAATGAAAATTCGAATCCTCTAATTTTGTGTCGCTTTAGTGTCGGATTAACTAGCACCCTTATTTATTAAATAGATTGGGAACGAAGAATGTGGAACAAAGGAAGATGGATGGCATTTCAGTAATTCAACATATTTTAACTAGCATTAAGACCCTTTCCTTGAGTGCACTGGGCACATTCTCCTTGGGTGGGAGGAGACCGTACGCAACTCAGCATAATAGAATTGCACTTTACACGACCGTGGTACGTGGCCTTGCGCAAAGCTAGTTTCAGATGGTTATCAAAGTACACGTGGCATTCATGCACAAACGTATGTATTTTGTCACTAGTGTACAGCATGCATACGGTTTGACATGTGTTATATTTTTAGGGCTGATCTTACTTTGTGTTTCAAAAGATATTTTTATTTTTATTTTTTATTTTTAAAATTTTAAAATTATAATTTATATTATCAATATCAAATTGTTTTTTTATTTTTTAGTCATAAATTTAAATACGTGAGTTGTAAGTGTTTCAAGCATAGATTTTTGTGTAAATTTACAGACTATTGTTGTCTCATGTAAGTTGCACATGATATGGTTAACTTCTATTTGATTAATGAAATACTATTTTCAATATAAAAAAAATGGTGTCAATGTAACGATCCGTCCAACTGTCAAGAAATTGTTTGTTTTGGGTGTTCATACGTTTTCACGGTTTTGTTACTAAGAGGCTTCGCCCCAAAAAAAGTCTCTTAACTGTTAATGATAAGCACATCACATATATAGCCTAATCACTTTTCCTTTTGAGTCGATATGAGATGCAATACATGAAGCTATTAAACTTCATCACCTTGCAAGGTATTTTGACAGGTTACTATAGTCAAATTGATCGCAGACGAAAATTTGTAACAATTGACATTTCTTATTTTCATGTTCGAACCGTTTGTATCTCTCGTGCTTTAATTTATAACGAAAAACTAAAAAACAGTCTACATTACTGTCAATTAATAATATTGAGGTTGTATATCGAGATTTTTAATATTTGAACCTATAAATTGAGAATCAAAATATCTTTTGAGGTGTAAAGTGAGATTTGCCCTAATTTTTTAGTGAAATTAGACGGAAGTGAGAGATATGATAGTTATAAGAGATAAATTATGAGAAATTGTATGTAAATATGAGTAATTAAGATAAGAAGAAATGAGATGTATTATAGGTATTTCAAATGTGTACACCAAAGTTCCCTCTTCTCTCTTTGGTAAAAATAATATGATACATTTTATATTTTTTACATCATATTTGATACTTAAAAAATTATTAAACAAAAATAAACCTGAACTCAGTGTATACAGCCTTTTCTAAACAAAAAGCAACAAAAAAGGACGATTATAACATTTTACTAAAAAATTTAGGCTAATTACAACAATTTAGAAATAATATCTCTAAGGTGCAAATTGTCTTTTAAAATACTTTTTAGGGCAAATGGCAGTTTGAACCCCAAAAGATTAAAAATTTCTCAATTTGCACCTTTAAAGATCAATTATTTCAAATTGCACTTTCAATTAAATTAATTGATAGCAATGTGACCCAAATCATAACGCCTGTTGCGCCTTTCATCAAATTGACAGCCTTGTGAGACGTACATGAAAAGAAGAAGAGTGATAATCTAACAAAAGTCATGACGTGTATTTCACATGGCTGTCAATTTCACAAAAATTGTAATCTCAACCATAACGTTCATGATGAATTTTATTGGATAGACACACGCGTAAAAAGGGGAAGCGTCATAATTTAACAAAAGTCATCACGTATATCTAACGTGACTGATAATTTAATGAAAATCACAACGAACATTATAGTTGGGGTCACATGACTATTAATTAATTTAATTAAGGGTACAATTTGAAGCAATTGATCTTTGATGGTGCAAATTAAAAATTTTTATAGTAAATTAGACAAACTATTTTTTCAAATTTTATCATAAACCCATTAACATAAATTGCAGTAAGCAACAAACAAAAGTACACAACAAGCCAAAAAAATCCTATAATGTAGAACACAAAATCATATAACTTCAACTTTAAAGCCTTAGTTTTGGAGTGGGTCATCAGGCGATAAATAAGCAATTAATAGTAAAAGACAAATATTAGGTCAAATGCATATTGGTTCGGTAAAGGGGACCTACTTCATCCCGAAAGCGGCAATGTGGCTAGAGACCTTTATTAATAAAGTGAGAGAGAGAGAGAGAGGGGTATGGTGGTTAGGAGAGAAAAATAGTTATGTGAGTAGTGTGTAGAGAGAGTTTATAATTTATAGGCATAAAAACCTTAAGTGAGGTGGCGACATGAAGGTAAAAGTACTAATTATTCGGGGAGGATAGATACAGCAAATAATAGGTACAATTAAAGATTGTCTTGATCTTCGAGTGTGGTTATCCCAGTGATTGCTCCTCACGTGCTCTAATTTTCTTGGACTCCTTGAATTCTAGACTAGGTCAAATTCATGAATCGTGCTTAACCTGCCTTTTAGTTGATTTGGAATTGGGTTATTTGGAAACAGGTATACCTAATTAGACTTATTTGACAAAAAATACATAAAACAAAATATTTTGGAAAAAAGTACACAGCTGAGTTACAAAGACATAAATGTCTATTTTAGGGTCATTTAATTCAAAATCTCTTATCTTTAATGCACATTGATTCATGTGTGTTTGTTAATACTTATAAATACGTATTTAATGCACATTGATTCATATATATATGTTAATACATATATATATATATATTTGTTGTTAAATCTCTTATTTAAATTTTGAATTATCTTTAATGCACCTTGATTCATGCGTATTTTTTTTTAAAAGTGATTTTGTTTTCAAATTATATTAAATGCACCTTGATTCAAGCGTTTTTTTTGTTTGGGAAAATGGTTTTATTTTTAAATTAATTTAATATCCAAAAAATATAATAGTGTAACAATAACAGTGTAACAAATACACTATAACAAAAACAGTGTTCAGTAATTTTGTGTATATGGTAACAAATTCAAAACGGAGATTGACTATTTTGAATGAAATTATATGAAACTATATGTTTTACAAAATATAATAGTACAATGTTTTGTGTAAATAGCTTGTTACACTGTTATTATTATACTGTTATACTGTTAGTGTTACACTATTATATTATTTGGATATTAAATTAATTTGAAAATAAAACTACTTTTAAAAAAAAATGCATGAATTAAGGTGCATTAAAAGATAATTCAATATTTAGATAAGAGATTTAACAACAAGTATATATACATATATACATAAGTATATATATATATATATAGAACACATGAATCAATGCGCATTAAAATATAATTAATAAAACCATTTTTCAAAAAAAAAAAATACATGAATCAAGGTGCATTAAAAGATAATTCAAAATTTAGATAAGAGATTTAACAACAAGTATATACATATATACATACATAAGTATATATATAGGTGTATATATATATATAAATCAACGTGCATTAAAATATAATTTATATACATATACGTTTTTATATATACATGAATACAAATTTTGAAATTCAAACAAGTATATATATATATATATATGTATTAAAGTTCTTCTATAAAACTATGAGATATTTAATGCACTACTTTCCAAAAAAAAGTGGTGCATTAAATACACATGGATTAATGGAGGGCAAAAATGTTACAAAAAATTAATAAAATTTAAATAATATACTTAGATACAAATAAGTATCAAAATTAATGACTTAATTATTCAACATTTTTTTCTATGTATTTTTTTACAATTAAGTCTAATTAGGTATACCTCCTTTCAATTTTTCCTTTAGAATTACT